TCCGCACTCCAGGAGCCTGGGGCCACACGACTGACGAAGAGCGGCGCCGGAGGCGCCGCGTCAAAGCCGAGGCCAACCTTTGGGCGAGGGATGTACGAAGATGATAGCAGGAGTGCTAGAAGCAACAATTCTCAACCCGTCTTGGAACCATAAAAAAGTTGATATGAGAAATTGCGAATAAGTTTGACGGACCATGACGGCAAAGATTGTCATAGTGTTGACTACTCTGCTTACCCCTGACAAAATTAGTAGCAACGGGTGGAAGCAACACCATGAACATTACAAAAGAAGGCTCCGCAAAGCTAAGTGATTCCGTGATGCAATCACAGTTCTAACCATCCCAATTTCTACCAGTGGAGAGACTGGTCCTGTACGAACGAGACTAGGAAGGGAGACAAGCTAATACGTGGAGGATGCTGGAACCACTCCAGTGGTGTGCCCTACGGTCCATTCAGTACTGACCAGGACGGGAGCTGAAGGCTGGTTCCACCAGCGCCTTTGCGAATCAATGCGAATCATGAAGCGGTTTTGGTCCTCATAACGGCAATGGTGTACTTACTCGGGGGATGTAGAATAAGTGGGCATCCCCCAGCGGCAAAAATTCCTGAGAACATGCCAATCTGTAAATCCGAAATGGCCGTCATCCAAAAAAATCCGTCATCACCTTGATAATTAGACTATGCCCTTTTTGTTGCATCCCGACAATTTGTTCACTTCCCCAAGGCAACCTAGTGCTTCGTAGGGCATGAAGCATGGGATCCTTTAGAACATCCCAATACAATCCCCAATACTACTCCACGTAACCCATCTTCCCAAGTCCCGACTAAGGGATCCCATCACCCAGCAGGCCTTTGCAACCTCCACCCCTGCCACCAGGGTCTCCAGCTCTGGCATCGCGCCAGGGATGGCGCCTCGGAAGCTTTGCTGTGGCAACGCGAAGGTATTGAGGGGATTCTAGAGCATATTTATAAAAGCTTAAGGATTTCCAGGTATTGCATATGTTTATAAGGAGTACAAAATATCATGTAGGAGGTATGCGACAGGATCGTCAAGGCTTATACGTTCACGGGGAGTGTTTACTCGGATCAGACCAGGCTGATCTTGGGATGGCGTGGGGGTTGGGCTTCTTGTGTAGGGAGCCGCCAACGGCTAGAGTTCTTCAACGGAGCGGTGATTCAGAGATGAAAACAGAGAAGCATGAATGAGTCACGGGGGATACAAAGTCGTCCCTCTCAGCTTTGGGATCTGTGTTGGCCATCGTGGGATTAGTATTCAGAAGGTTTCAAAGTCCTCAGGTACAGATTCTCCCCCAGGCTGAATGCGCATGGTAGTTGGGGCCCAGATCATCAGCCCCAGTCTGGGACCAAGAGAGGCAGCGCTGCAAGACTTAGGTGCTGCCCTGGGGCTCGCCCGATGCAGCCGGGGGAGCCGTCGACTTCGCCATGGCCCGCCATGGGTTGGGGGTCAGATGAGATACTGGGGTTCTCTGAGGGGCGATGGGAGATTATGTTGGGATTTGGCGCGTTGGGTGGAATTGGTTTTAGTTGAACACATTTCAGGAACTGATGATTTTGGGACGCTCAGAAGGACTGATGATTGTCTGGCATGTGCATGGCGCACGTGTTGTATTAGGACTGCATCGAATTGAGGCCACATGGTCTGCATCAACCACTCCCACGTGTAACCTGATTGCATTGCAGAAAAAGACACTTAAAAACAAAGTCGCATAGGCTCGACATGCTATGTGGGAGAACTTGAAAAATGCTAAATCTAATTGATACTCTCTTCGAGCTATGTTAGCTGATGAGGCGGCCAGCCTTCGAAATCACACAAGCTTGGATCCACTTGACCATAGAACAGGAAAGCTATGAGAATATGCCCGTACACCTGCGTAACATGAAGTGAATAATGATGAGCCAACTCGCCAACGGAGCTTGCATTCAAGAATTGTCCACTGTAAGTCTTACAGATGAACGACAAGAGTACCAAACCAGCCAAGATAAGGGTTTAGAATCTCTATGCTGAAGCTTTCTGCTGGATTTGGAGACCTCCAAAATTTCTCGCACCGGGAATGCTATGGTAGAGTCTGGTGCACGAAACCCAGGGACAAAGAAGACGGCGACCACGCCAGACACACAACCTCCCCAAGCCATTGGACAAAAAACAGAACCCCAAACATGCTGCCAAACTAGAGCGACCCAGTAATCTGCTTGTTGGGACCTCTATCTGCCATCAACCCTCCACGGCCCTTGCCTTGACACCGTCAACACCTATCTTAATATGCACGCCCGCACAGCGAGCAGGTACCTGGCGCGGCGCCATGGCTTGGACCAGGGAGGCGACAGGCGAACAGCTGAGAGCCAAAGCAAGGGCCGCAGCAAAAAGGCGGAAGGTGCGGAAGGCCTTAGTCTTAGGGTCTACCTTCAGGTCGTGGAGTGGGCTTAGGGGTTTTGGGGCTTGTGGAAGCTTTACAATAAGGTCATTCACTGTAGCCCCCTCATGACAGCGTGTTCTGCAGGGAATCCAAGGTCTAGGATTTTGTAATCCAAATGCAAAGAACGGTGGCTTATTTGAGGAGGCAACATGTGTGCAGTGCATCACCCGGGAGGGCTTTGCGGGGTATGTGATAGTTGTTCAAAGTGCATTAGAAAAAGAGAAAAGCTTTACGTGAATGCCTGGACTTGTGATGCTGAGACTTTGGAGCGGAGTTTCAGTCTGCCAGATTTGCATATGTAGCGTATCGCAAAACCACGTAGGGCATCATTACAGACCCAAAAGATAGAATGCCATGGCGACTGTTGTAACATCCTCACATTTTCAGAAATCTCCACGGGAGCTCAGGAAATCAAGCCTAGGTGCGTCTCAGAAGCCCACAGAGAGAAAGGGAGCCAAGGAGCGTCTAGAACCAGGACCCCAAGCCCAGACCTTGAAGCCACCTCATGCCGGTCATATTCTCCTATTTTGGGGTCGTTGAAACTCACGGATTCTGGGAGCACTAGGTCTCCCCTCCTCCGAAAAACTGAGCCCTGAGGCCCAGCCAATGCTGAAACTGGACCTTCCAAACCTCGAGCAACCTACAGGCTTCCCTTCTGCAAACCAGACTGACACGCCCTTATTGTCATGAAGGCCCGTGCATTGCTGTCAGCCTCTAGTTGGCTCCACGCAAAGCATTCTCAAACCGAAAAAATGACCAGACGACCCACAACAACGATGATAATAATGATAGCCGTGGAAATCTCTCCATACAACCTCAAAATAGGACCCTGCATACAGCCTGTAAATCCCTTGAAATCTCCCCTTGAACCCTAAACCCTGTGAACCCCTTGAAATACGTTTCGTCCCTTTATCGAAACCCTAAACCCAAAGCTCTAAACATCCTAAGCCCTAAACCCTAAATCCTAAGCCCTAAACCCAAAGCTCTAAACCCTAAACCCTAAGCCCTAAACCATTGCTAAGGCATCTCTGGGGTTGCAGCGACCCGCCGATGCCACGTGGGCCTTGGTGCTCCGGGAATGGTTGGGGGTTAGATGCACACGGTTGAGGATTTAGGAGTTTAGGGTTTACAGAAATTGTACAGGGGTCTAGGTCGGGAGTTTTGACCGGGTTTTGGGCGAGTTTCCGGTTTAAGATTGCCCTGGAAAGCCCAAAATGGCCCTACAAACACATTTGAAAAAACGAAATGGCTACAAAAGGTTCAAAATAGCTAAAGACAGTTCGGAATGCCCCAAAACGGTTCCAACGCTCAAGTTTTTGCTGCTGCCAGCTAATCCTTCCCGCCCCACCCATGCCAAAGTGCGGACCAGAGAGGTCATTGAGTGCTCCCCGTACTGAGTGTTTGTTTCTGGGAGATCTTTGAAAGGGGGGGCGAGTATACAATTTCTATCCTGGCTGGAGGGTGTTGGGCTTAGGGTTGAATTCTGGGTTCAGGATTTAGATCAAGGGTGCAGTGTTGAGCGAGGATTTCCGTACTTCAGGTTTGGTGGTTTCAGCACACACACACACACTGCACTAGCAGGCACAGCTCAGACCCAGTTCCAAAGGCAGCCCGAAAACCCAGCATTTCCGCCAACAAACTTGTCCCTATGTTTACTTGAAGGCTTCGCGTTTGGAAGGAGGCGACCCTCCCCATAGGTACCCCGCCCTCTCAAAAAAAAGCTTCAGCCACAAAGGCCCCCCCCCCTCAGATCTTGAGGTCTCCGTAACATTGTCTATCTGATAAGGATACAAGTATTTACCAGTATGGAGCCAGGGGCAGTTTGCACATGATAGCGTTGAAGTGTCCAAACCGTTTCCACGGCAAAACTGTCTGCACAATGATTCTTCGGGAACTTGCGGGTTGCTGTCCAGATGCATACGTCTTTAGTGAGCATAAAGTCATATGGTTGTAGTTGTGAAACCCAGCGGCAAGGCACAATTCTCACGCTTTTGCTACCACCAACTACTTTGCTAAAACAGCATGCAGTCGTCGGCACCGGCCGGCATATTGACGCGCACTTGCATATCGAACTCAAGGCTTCTGTCCATGAGCATTTGGCCTGATGCATCTTGGCAGGAAGGCTGTTGCTGTCCTATTTGCGGCATACTGCGTGGGTGCGTGAGAACGGCACACAATCAAAGCCCATGGAAGAAGGCATTGGAAGAAGCTCGCTGAAGTGTGCTGCTGTACCAAAAAGAAAACCACCCCTACATCGCCTGACGGTACAGGCTTTGCCGGACATTGCCAGCCCGCGCAAGCGAAATCGTGCAAGAAAAAATGTGCCCAAGCATCTGTTTGATCTCCCTGCCGCATGGGCAGACGGTCGCACAGTTCATGACATGGGCAACTTCTGAGGTAGAAACTATTTCAGCTTGGCAGTCCTGGATTGCACCCACTTCTGTTAATTAAGTTGATACAAGTGTTGCTTAAGCTGTAGAGCTTCTCCCAGAACAATCTCAAAGGGCCTGCTGCAGGAAGCTGTACATTCACTGACCAAAGAACCAAGCTAAGCACCGCTCTCGTGCTACGGGACGTCGACTTTGAGCACCAACCGGTTCCTCAGTGTGCAAGGTAGAAACATGGGGACCTTTGAATGTCTGAGGGGCCTTGTTTTGGAGCTCTGTCTGTCCTAAACTCCTGAACGCGCATAGTATGCAAACAGGACACCTTAGGTCACCTAGTGCTTCATTACACCGGGCATTGCTGTCAACAGGAGGCCCACGAAGCTCAAAAAGGGCTGCGATCCGAACCAAGATTCACAACCATACCATTGTAGTGGCGTAGAACTTCGGGCGACTTGTGGACTAAGCCTTTCGAACCACACGGGAACTTGGTGCCCTTGATGAAAAAGACGTCTCCTACCCCAACGGACTTGACACAGGTGGGATCCTTAAGGATGTGCTCATTGACACCGCAGTTCTCCAGCTCCCAGAAGTTGACGTTTTCATCTGGTGTATAGAGCGTCCCGGTGGCGTTGTACGTAACAATGGCCCTTGCGCAGTAGTTGTCGCGATGCCACCTTGAGCAGTTGCTCTCCCCGATGACTTCAATCTTGAAGTCGAACTTGTCGTTCCACGGACAGAGGCGGGCCACCGCCTCACCAACTTCAATCACGTCTTGGCGGATGGCTTGTTGCAGGTCTTCGGGCAGCACCATCCTCACCTTCCTTAGCAGCATCTCTGCCACCTGACCAAGGTCACGAGGTCCCTCACCGGACTTGCACAGCTGGACCTTGATCTCATCCTCCTCGCTGACGTCACCCCGAGAGACAGCCCTATCAACGACCTCCTGGATGTCCTTCCACCAAGGCTTCCTCTTAAGGATCAGGCCCTTGTGCTGAGAACTCTCTGGCTGAAGCCAACTTGCGAGTGCCGTTGCGAACAGCACTGGCGAGGGCCCCTCATTTGCTGCCTGCTGCGGCACTTTCGCCCTCTTTGCAGGAGATGTGCTCGTTCCGGCTAGTGGCCCCAGAATGCGCCCACCTCCATATGGGCCCACTTGAGTCGCAGGGACATGTGTCTGCGTCACCATCATAGCGGCCAAAAGACCTGCAGATGCTGTACGAGGCGCAACGCAGATTGGACCCGCCCCGCACCAAGCCAACACGGCTGCGAGGGGCCCTAGCTTGAAGAGGCACTTTGGAATGTGGATTCCAGGGTTGACGCACAAAACACGGCATAACCCAATATGACCACAATAGAAAAGCAGTCCCACAAGCATGCTGTGCAACCTTGATCCACACGGAGCTCAGTTATTGCAGCAGTGGGAACGCGGCTCCTCTCCATCTGGTGAATTGCTTGCTTTTATGAATAAGGGAGAGGAAGGGACAGAAGGCGGCACACTATTCAGCACCGCATTCAAGGCGTCCGTGCTCTCAGAGTTTGGGATTGCTTGCTCGCCGCACGGTGAAAAGAGCATCCGGTCTCAAAGTAAACTGAACAAACAACATGGCCAAAATCGGGTGGGCAAGCGGCTGCTCCCCAACTAGGCAAAATGTTAACTGTCTACTCCAGAGGCCAGCATAATCCAGCAAGGTCATGGGGTGCTCTTATGCAGACCTGCAAGACAAACCTTGGAGGAAATCAGCAATGGATCGGTACAAGTGCCAAAAACCCAGTCGATGGCTGTGACAATGTGACACTTCCTTATCCCTCATCTCTGACTCAAGCACCCAGGCGGTGTTTTGAATTAGGGCTTTTATGGGCCTTTGGTCTTTTGCTTGAGCTTTCAGGTCTGAGGACCTCAGAATATGACTTGTTTGATGGCCGTCGAGCTCAACTGATGCGCCACAACCTACGGAAGGAACCCGAAATTGCACTTTTTCCGTGCGTCTGCAGGAAGACACGTCCAGCCGGCAGGATGCCAGATCTTAGAGGGACCCTAGATCAGGGCTCCAAGGAGCATCTAAGCCTGGTACCCAGAATTAATCTTCACCGTACCCCTGCAACACCTCGCAACCCTCGCAGTCCGGATTTTGCAAAGATGCATGAAGGAGCTTGCTGGCATCAGGTCTATACTTGGTGTCTGTAGTCTATGCTTGGTCAAGACTCGATAAAAACCGCAAATATCTCTCAACTAAAGCCCGTACCCTAAATGCAAAGTTCATGGTACCCTCACCCAGGAAACCCACATGGATCTAAATTATCCAACTAATCCACATCTTTCTCTCAGCCGTGATCCACACCCCAGAGCTATGCCTCGGCTATTCTGTCGAACGATCTCAGCATCTCAGCATTCCCGCGACGGAATTCGGTGCAGTTCTGATTGGCAAGCGGTTATTCCACAAGTTTGGGTCTTATACCAAACAGTCCAACAATAGGATCCAAATTTTGATGGCTCGACGAGAATCTTCATAGTATTCACAGCTTTCAGCCACCGCCAAATCGTACGTAGATCCCGACCACAGTACCCTCATATAGGCCGTCAACCACTCCGAGATGCATCGCAACGGGATCCACAATTTTGAAGAAGAATGTCATCTCAACAGGATATTTCCTTGTAGACCCTCATTACAGTATGAAGCAAGAAAGTCAGTCGACCACTTTGCAATATATATGAAGCCTGTTACATTTGGACTATTCGTTGTTGCCACAAGTAGCATGTATCTCATGGCTTAGCTTGCCAAAGACGCCAATTGCTAAGCGGTGACGCAAGAAGCCCGACCCTTAACTACCTTGTTGGACATTCTGCAAATCAAATTCCTGAAGCATGCTATCCTGCACTCTAAAACCTGCGTACTAGACGCTACTTGCAGGAACAACAAAGATCCACTGCCATCGCTTGAACATGGCGGAGTCTCTCACCTGCCAGCCTCACGTCCGAGCATGTCACTCTGGGTTTTGAGACCACTGCTCCGGGTGGGAACGCTTTGGAGGAGTTGGGAATCACAATTCCAAAGCCCGAGAAGAATTGAGCCTACGGCAATGCAATACCTCGGCTTCATTGGTTTCAATAACTGCGGCCTGTCTCACACATTACCCCAAACTTGTCCAATCATGGGCGTAACTCGTCAATTACGGACCACTCGAAGCCCTCATATCCCAAGTAGTGCTGGGGTGGTGGGGGGGCCTTAATTAAGCTTCAGCGGAATTATTCAGCACTCCCTGATTCGTTTGGGGCCCCTTAATTGCGCGAAAAATTAATTCTGATAACAACTCAATAGAAAAGGTAAGCCAACTTTGGCTTCCTAATCGAAGCTACTCTTACCAGAATGTAAAATTAGAATTTTGGCCTCAAGGATCTTATGCTTTCAGGCTCCAGGCCAAGTCCAAAATTATCCATTTCTTATTCAACCGTTTATTCGAGGAGGCCAGGCAATCATTTTTGCAAAGGGGTAGTCCAGCAGCTGCCTGGGTCCTCAACAATACAACATTTTTGGGCGTGCTCAAATATCTGAAATTTTCGGGCCCCGTACGAACTCCAGAAGGCAAATGCCTTTCCTTTGAAAGTGAATTTAATTTAGAACAGCTACTGAGCTCCGCATCGCTCCTCCTATTGAATTTTTAATGTACCCGATTCCGAGCTCAGGACACCCTCCTACTATCGAATTTCAATTGAAAGCTAGGAGCCAGATTCGTTTGGAGGGACCCCCACCCCGTTAGATTAATGGGGGACCCCATTTTGTTGAGAGGGGGGGAATTCTCCTTCACCTATCACTAATCAGGATCCCACTTTACAGGGGAAACACTACTTGAGATAACCCCCTTCTCCTTGCAGCTGGGGCAGCTGGTTCGTAGGCGCTGAAGATATTGACCGTATTGGTCACGGCTGCATCAACCTAGGACCCGCAGCCCGACAAGGGTGGCCGAGGGTTGTTGGCAAAGGGCTCAGAAATTTGGGTAGGGTTCAGACTTTGCTTGCACCATCCATCTTCAGCTGGGGAAAGTCAGAGCACGAAGTTGGGGGATCGCAAACATCCAAGATTTAAACCTTTACTGCGGGATGTCTAAGGCAAGAACCGTCTGACTGATCCGCCCAAAGTATGGTTCGCTGCCCACAGTGGAACGGCTGAGCCTTGCCTCGCAGTCGGTACACGTGCACAGGCATAGGGGGGGAGCCAGGGAAGGTGGGAATGGAGGGCCCCAAAGTTTGGCATTTGCAGGGCTCGCTGCTTCCGGGGAAGGCTTCTGATTGACCCATGGACTTCCGGTGCTAAGATAAAACATCCCTGACATGGCATGAGCTGGCAAGGCGTGAGAACCACGTGAACCAACAGCCCTACACCTTCGGAAGCTTCGACCAAATTCATGAGCCGCTGAACGAAATGGACAAATGCTGCAGACTGTCGAGGAGCCTCTGTCAGGCGGAACGGGACGAATGCCCCACCTTCCTGCCAAGACAGTTGAGGATAGTGGCTGCATCTTGGGGTCGTGTCTGCACAGCCCAGGCATTGATGGGTCTGCCGCTCGGGCTTGGAACTATCTTCATCAAAGCTTGGAGCAAGGTGCTCAAACATACCTTTTGGAGAGGGCTATTAGGCCTAGGGCAGGTGATCATGATTCCCGATGATGGGACAACCCCACACAAAGCGATTTAGACTTACACTCATTCATTTGCCCCGCTGCGAGGTGCAACAGAAAAGCACAGTCCCTACCACAACGGGGGAGGCGGTGCTTCACAAGAGCAGTTCTTTCAGGGAGGATTTGTGGCAGGGCTGGATGGGCACTGCTGGCACCCACGCCGATAACCCAACACTCCCTAAACTACGGACAGCATCTAAACCCGCCAGCCCCAACATAGGAGAAACCACCTGTGGAAATGATGACGGACAAAGCGTCACCGTATTGATCTGGTAAGACGCAGCATGGATGCCCTTGGAAAAAAGAATTCAACACTGCCGCAGTACTCGTGGTCGCAGCGTTTGAGGCGGTGGACGCTTTACCGGTGTTCGGCCGAATCCACTCGGATTGTCAAGTCACGCTGCCCAGCACGTGTAACCAAAAAGTCCCTACCATAACAGAAGTTGGTTTGCACGCGGGAGCATGGGACACAGAAAGAAACAAGGGTCAGCTTTCTGTTTCCCGTTGGGTTCCTTTGCCAGCAACACCAAAAGTGCCAGATGGATTGTGGTAATCAGAACTACTTTTAGCAATGTTTATCAACCAGAGACAGGGTAGCAAAACTCAGCTTGTCGTGGGCCACATACTTCTCGTGAGCCATATGCAAGTCTAGGTTGCCCAGGGTGATTCGTGTCAAGTCTTCAGCCCTCATCCCCCAAACCGTTAGACCTTACACCGTTTCAACCCTGAAAAATGCCTGACCTGCACCCTAGCCCTGTGCCTGCTGAGCAGCCGCGCCCTCTTCCGGCATCTCAACCGGCTCCTGTAGTGGGGTTTAAAATCATCCTGTCCACTGATGTGAAGCATGCCCCAAGGTCCCAAAATTGATGACAAGGAAGACTTGATGCTAGACAACCGAAGGAATACTCAAGATTAGGGGTGGGAGGAATATTGATTTGAACAGGATACGAGAGGATAACTTACTGGTTGTCAGTCGGAGGAACGGATGCCTGCAATAGTTCCCACAGAACATCCACATACTCCTGTCTTCAAGGCCTACTAACCAACCACCAATCGTGGATGAGATTACATGATGGAATCCCGAATTCGAAACGAAGTCAGCCTCTTGGGCTTGAGGGACTTGACCACGAGCTTTTTGGGGTTCAGGGCTCCTTGACT